ATACATATATGTAGCTTTTATTGTCAATGTTTCCAAGAAGTAACTTGCATTTGTACCTCATTTTTTCATTAGAAGGAGGAATAAAGTCTTGTAACAATACCTCATTCCTTCATTAGATGGAGTTTTGATTGTCTAATACCTTATGTTTTGAATGATGGCCTTATTACTGAATAGCATTCCACTGTAAGTTTACATGCTGAACTAGCTTGGGTATTGTAAACATATTTCTTAGAGTTTCTTCATACTAAACAATTTTGTTATTACTTAGGCTGTTATTAGTTTATGCTGGCAAAGATCCAAACCAGTCATTGTTAACGAGAGTACTTGCACTGCTGAAATGGCTCTTCTTGGAGGCGCTGTTGAAGATTCAATTCTCATGCCTGACCCGCTTCCCTCTGTGTCATCATCAAGCCTTCCACAGTCTACAGCATTGTCTGGTTCTCGTCTTGCTGCGCGGTCAGGTCCATTTATTGAAACATCTACTCTTACGGCAACAATTAGTGGAATGGCATCAAGTACGCTGAATCTATCCTCAGCAGAGGAAACCCCTCAACGGAGTCATCTGCGGCCTGGTGGAACATTATCTAGATTACATGCACCTCGTTCTAATTTCACTTTCAAGGATGACATGGAGGTTTTCTCCCCTCTGGTGGATGTTCAACCGATTACGCCGTCACTGGAGAAGCTGTGGGATGATCATGAAGGAGGAAAAAAGGATCATCTACCTGCTGATAAGAAGCCATCATCCTTGCTGTTTCCTTCATCCAATCGGAGATTCCCTTTTGCAGATGATGGAGCCAATGACCATCCAATATTTGATTGGAAATCCAGTTCAATGTCCAGACAGGTTAGTCACTCCGTTGTGCCAGATGGTGGCTGCACTGCGAGTAAATGCTAATTTCCTTTTTGCTGAGAGCCTTATTTTCATCTAAACCTTGTTATGTTACTTATGCTTCTTTAATAACACGCGGCACAGTGCATTTATTACATAATGCTATGTATTTCGTGCTGGAGTTCTCTGACAATTCATCATGGTGTTATGCTTCTTTAATAATGCGTGGCACAGTGCATTTATTACATAATGCTATGTATTTCATGCTGGAGTTCTCCGACGGTTTATTATGGTGTTTTACAGGATGATAACAGATCTTTTACGTTGTTAACATCTACTCCTCCATCTTCAAAAAGTGAAGACTCTGTCATAACACCTCCAGAAGCTTGGGGTGGTGAGAAACTTTCTGATAAATTTCCGAACTTGCGGTTCCCATCTCGTTTCGGTATGTTAAGCTCGGCTGCAATGACATCAGGGACAACATTTTCTGATATTTCCTCGTCACTTGGTCAGACAGGCTCAATGACGAATACTAACCCGAGCTATGAAAATATGCGCAGCAGAGATTTTCCCTCAAATATTGAGACTTCATCAGGATTTCCGGAACATTTATCTTCTAGTTCTATGACTCTCTCTATGAGCACAAAAGGCAACCTTGGATCGGCTAATGTTGATTCACCAAGACAAGCATCTTTGGCTTTGCCTAGAAGGTTTTCAACTTATGCAGAGAGAATTAGTACTATTTCTTCCTTCAGTGATGCCACTTCCCTTTCAGTGGGTTCACCAAAAATAAAGAAAACAGGAGCTGAAACCAAGGAGGAACTTTTGAACAGCTTTTTCTCGAGAACTGACACATCGTCCGCCACCGAACTGGGAACACTTCCCGTTACAAATGTATAAATTCTACATTGGCTTAAACCTGATTGGCCAATTACATGCTTTTGCAGTAGAGTGATACCATAACAGATTTTTGTATGCAATTGTTATCACTGATGGCTCCACTGTGAAATGCCAGCTCATGTGTCTGCCATAACTTTAAGGTATTGGTGGGTCTGATGTAACTTGGTGTTACTGCAGAATGGTGGGGGCATCCATGATAACAAGCTATTACAGACGTCTGTGATGCTAGCTCAATTTTGATTTTATTAGAATATAATTCTTGTCATTTGCAATATTGTACTAGGGGGGAACATCTCAGCACTTAAAGGCCTCCCTCCAGTCAGATGCACAGCAAGGAAGTAATTTTACACTCCAGCTTTTTCAACGTACCCTTGAAGAAACTCTTGATTCTTTTCAGAAATCCATTCATGAGGATATGAGAAACCTTCATATTGAAATTCTAAGACAATTCCATATGCAGGAAGTATGTACCTCTCTTGCCATTGGTTTACTTCCTCTCTGCCTCTTTTCTTTTCTGCTCTTGTTGTGGCTTTTTAGATGTAAATTTATTTTATGGCATCATTGGACAGATGGAGATGTCAAAAGTGATGAGTTCAATCCTGGAAAACCAAGCTGAGTTGATGAAAGAAATCAAATCTCTCCGGAAAGAAAATCAACAGCTCAGGCAAATGCTTTGAAGACTGATGATAAAGAGTGCTTTAACGTGAGTGTCTTTTTTTATTATCTTTTTTCCCCTGAGATTTATTGTATTTTCACATCTGTAGTTCGTGCTTGGCACTATCTTCTCATTTTACATAAATTACTAGAATTGCTCATCTCAGCAACTGTAGCTAAGGGTGAAAATTGGAAGAAAAATGTCCAAATGGGGAATTGGGAGGGGTTATTTGAACAACAATGCAATTGTGTGAGTAGATTTAGGGTTTTCGACCATGTATGTAGATTTTCCCTAAATTGAAATGAAGCTTTTGGTTGGGCCACATGCATTCTATCATTTGAGGTCATCTTCTCACTTCATCAAGTATGATCAATATTTCTAAAGCTGTAAATAAATTATTCTGATTGCAGCCTTGCTAGGTTGATTCACAACAAACTTGAAAAGTATGATGAAGATTGACCAAAGTTATGCCTCAAAATATATTCAAGTCTTTACTTTAAAATTTCCTGCACATGAGGCGGAATTCCAGGTTTTGATGTGTTTTCTTTGAAAGAAAAAAAATCAAAGAAAGAAATTAGGTGTATTTCTAGTAGAAGTCCACATTATTTTTATTTCCAAAACGACATTCTTTATTCTCTTTTCATCCCTCATATTTACTTTGTTGACCAAGCTACAACTGCTTAATTTTAACAATAAAATATTTTTATCTGGCATGTAACTCTTTTTTTTCCCCAAGTCAGTATGGAAGTAAGTCCTTTCATATACAAGAACCTAGTGCTTTAAGATACCCTATGATCAAAAACCAAGAGAATGCTTGTGTTAACTTATTTTTCTGTCAAAGAAGTCTGCGAACTCTTTTTCCTTTTTTCCCCCCCCTCCCAATAGTACTTTTGTTAAAGAAAAAAAAGAGAAAGACAACTCTGAAGTGTTTATATCTAACATATTTGATTAGTCCCATGAGTTTGATCCTATAGAATCTGATATATTTTTTCATTGAACAAAGGGTACGAAATAAATTATATCAGATTGATTTTTCGATCAAAAGCACTATGTGAAATATTTGGTTTTTTCCTGTTTTTCTATCCCTATCCCTAACCTATAGAGATGACACTTGAATCAATAGAGAACCTTGCCTTTTGTATCTATATGAATAGATTATGAATCGATATTATTACATTCCAATTTTTTACCGATACTCCTCAAGGAAAATCTCGAATTGGATCCCAGGTTGACGGGTTAGTGTGAGCTTATTCATGCGGTTATGCACTCTTCGAATAGGAATCCATTTTCTGAAAGATCCTGGCTTTCGTACTTCGGTGGATCTCTGAGATCCTTTTATTTATCCCCCCCTGCATCCATTTACTTTTTACTGAAATACATCACTTATTTTTTTTGAATGAGCGTACATTCAACTTTATTTTCTGAATGCATATTGGCGCTTCAAAAACTATAAGCACCTTTAGTGTCATCTCTTAGCATCTAGTATTTTAAAACGCATCTTAAAGCAACATTTTGATATAAAATTAAGGGGGCATTTGGCCTAGCTTTATTACTTTGTTTGGAGGAGGCTGAATTGTTCAAAGTCTTATCTAATGACTTTTTTCTTTTTAAATAAATCATACTAGCATCAAGGGAGTACCCGCCTATGTACAAAAATTTACAATTCAATCAACGTGTTAATTAAATTTCCTAAATCCTCTATTGAATAAAGAGGATGACCCAACAACAAAAAAATAACGGTATGGAACTATTGATTTGTGAGTAAGTCAAACCCATCTACATCATCAACTTCCTCAAATGCCTTTTGGTCCTCTCTTTCAACAGAACCTAAAACCAAGTCTTATGCACTGATTTTTTCTTTTTGAAGTTGGAGTAAGCTTTTTCTTAGAGAGGATACTAATTCAGTTAAGTAAGGTTTTCTTTTGGGAAAAGAAAAAATTATTAGTAGAGGAAAAAAGAAAAACTTGATTCATACGTAAATATCAATATTACCTTTAAATTTTAAAGCCAGTAATAAAGAGACTAAATTTCAGCCTTATTGAGAAGACATAACATGAACGTGTGCCCTTCATGTTAGAAGCATATGGACGCTAGAACTGGATTAACATGTGCTGATTATTTTGCGTTTGCTCTTCAACAAATAAGAATTTTTACAATCACCAAGAAGGGTTGGTTTCAGGAAGCAATGAAAAGGTGGGATTGGTTTTGTATTTTCTCGAGTAGTATTGTGATTGCATATTCAAATCTTGTACAATTGCTTTCTGTTCCAGAAGTGGCCTCCTTAAATCTAATTATAAATGACCTAGATGCCTGGTCTTACATTGAAAGCTTGCCAATATCAACTGGTGTTGAAAGGAGAAATGGCTACAGACATCATGAACCTCTTGTCAGGCATCAACTCAGTTCAGTTTGTCTACACCAACTACAAAATTTATTCAGAAAGGAGTGGCCAAGCCACCCCTCAATCGACTAGTTTTTTCTCTTATTTTTCTTTTGCAGGTCTATGTGGTCTGCTTGGTCTCTCAGTTGCTGAACAAGTTGATGTGGCTGCATTCCAGAACTTCTGCTGATGATTTAGTTTCGTTGTCTCATTGAATGCAAAGCTTCAAGTGTTTATGATACGCCGGTGGTTTGGATCAACATCTCCTTTGAACATATCTGGTCTTTTTCTTTTTTCTAAAAAAAAAATGAAGGGCTTTTTAGTTTTGGTTAATATCTTCACTCAAAAAATTTAGATCTGCTCAATTTTGTTGGCTGCTAATATCTTGTCATTGCTGGTCATTGGATCTCCTTTGGAGCACAATTACTTATTTAGGCTGTTGTTTCTGTGATCTTCAGTTCTGGAATCCCTCATTTTGTTTTTCACGCACTTTTATGAGTCTTGATCTTCGTCAAGTGCTGGGTCTATTTGATTATATGAATGATGGAGGTGCTCACTGTTGCAATCCTATCTGGTCGAAAGAGCCATGAACGCCTTCATATTTCTATTGTGCATCACGTTGGGCTAAGTTAGCTGTTTTCTTTTTTGTGCTCTTAGAGGCTAGGAAGAAGGTCTTGAGGTTCTGTTCTGGTGTTTTCTGCTATGTCTGAGATTATCTTTCTATCTCTGTTAATAAATTTATGAATTAATTCGAGAAGAAAAAGACAATAGAACTTCTACATTCCTCATTCAGTCTGCATTGGAATTTTCCCAGACTCCTTGACGAGCGAAACTGTCACGACAAATCAACTTGAGATCCACTTGAGGGCAAAGCATAGCATCAAACCTTGTGATTACATACTAGAAAGCACAAGGCCTTCTTGAAATGATCAGCTGAAGTATCAGCTGGACATGTAAATTCTTCAGAGGTGTGATCTGAACGGCCCAATTTCTATTCACTTAAAAATATTCCTAAGTGTATCCACCATCCTTGAATCATCTACAGCTAGCTGGGGGATACACCTTAGCAAGCCTTATATCAACCTGGGTAAGTTTGCCAGAGGAAATTTATTGCTTTATTGGAGATAGAGGTGCGCTTACTATCCTAGCTATGTCCGCCTAATCTTTTTTCCCAGAGTTTGATTTAGCCTAGTTTTGAATCACTAACTAAGCTATTTCTCCCTTATACGCGGATCAAACAAGATGAATTCAACAATAAGAAGAAAATGGTAGCCATATTTCATAGGATAAAGAAAACAAAACATTGATTTAGAACATCATGAAAAGAAATTAGCCATTTTCCTTTGCAGATAGAATGGTAACTTCTGTCAAATGTATGTCACAATACAATTACCCGATTGAACCACAAAAATTGAAGTTTTCACTATTGTCTAAATAGAGACTTGAATAGATTTTATTTTAGATTCCAACCTCATCCATAATGCAGTAATAGATTGGAAAGGTGGAGAAGCGAGATCGAATGACAGGCCAACAAACATGGGTATATAAGAACAGGCAGCTGAATGACAGTCGCAAATGGAAGCTCAACGAAACTCCAAAAGATATATGAGCAAGCATTTTCACATTTGAGCAAGTTCTCCAGGCAACAAGAGTTTGATGCAGCAGCAACAATGTTACAATACAAGCAATTCAGTATATGTTTGTTTATTATATATAAATGACCCAAACACAATATTTTTACATCAAGTATATATATATAAACATTAAAAATTAATAAATAAGGATGAAAAATTGAAGTGTTAGAAAGAAATAAGTTATTAAAAATTTATATAGTAGATAATTTTAAAACTTATAATCAACAAAAATTTTAACTAAATTTTTTGATATATTTTTCATTTTAATTTAATTTCAAAATATCTCAAAAAAATAAAAAATAAAAAACAAACGTGACATAATATGATAAATGTATGAAGAATATAATATATATGATATATGTTAGGAAATGTTAAATTTAAATTTGAATAACTATGACAAATCAAAATTCACTTAAAACAATAAAATATTTGTATATAAGAATTAATGTGCGCTTATATATACAAATATACTATACACGTGCAAGCATATAATAAAAGATAATTAAATAAGATACTTCTAAAAAAAAAGTAAAATAAAATTTATCATAAAGATAAAATAGAAAAATAAAGATTCTAATGCTGACCCTCAACTCAAATATTTCCTACACAAGTTTTTTCCTTATATACAAATAATGTAATATTTAATAATAAATAAACTCTCACCCCAAATCCCCCCTAAACTAGTATGTAGTATAAAATTGCCCCTGGTTCCTGCACTGAACTTAACCCACACGCTCTTTAAAAAGAGAGATGGCTGCCACTTGAACTAAGCTTCTGCCCTCTCATAAGTTTGGAGCACATAAACATCAAAAATGTCTACAAAACTGAAAGAAATAACTCTGGCAGTTGGCAGTCACCCGAACTATTTCTCTATTCTAAGAGTAAATTCAAGCAGACGATAGGCAACATTATCGGTACAGCAGCATTAAACACAGTATGGTAGCATCATTACCATCCATACCTAATAGACA